CCCAGGGCAGAGGCTGTCTGGCGGAGGGAGAGCGGGGAGCCTCGCGGGGCTGAGCAGAGCCACCTGTCCCCTCCAACAGCTCCCAGCAGGGCTCACCATGATGGCAATGTAGTGCCGGCAGTCAAAGGGCAGTGGGCCGTCCATGTGCATCAGGTAGTGCTGCATCTTGAGAAAGCTGTCGAGGTACTGTGGGTGGTAGCCCATCTGCTGGGTCACTGCCTCCAGCCGCCCCCGGCTTGCCAGCACCTTCACGAAGAGGAACTGGGGACGCTCGGGGTCGCTGCCAGCCATCTTCACTACCTGCGGGGAACATGCTCTGCTTAGCTCTCCCTGAACAGCCCCTGCTGAAGCAGCCCCCCCCAGCCAAGCCCAGGTTCTGCAAGGGGCTGGGATCCCTTCTCCCAGCTTGGTGCTCCTAGAGGGACACCATCAGGTCAGAAGCCACCGCAGAGGGCTCGGGCTCAGGTCAGGGAGGTGGGCAGAGCACTGCTCGGCAGGGTCACTGCTAGCAGGAGGACAGGCTGCAAGAAACACAGGTTGGTCTCTGCCTGGGAGTCAAAGGGCAAACTAGGAGTGATGTTTCCTTGCAGCCTTGGAAGCAAATGCAAGGCCAGAGCAGGAGCAACATGACAGATGAAAGACCTCCCAGGACAGAGCAGCCCATCAGCCTTACCGCCAGGCCCCCACGCCACCAGCACTGAGTCCTCCTGCCCAGCACTGGGACAGCGGGGAGGGCTGTGGAGCATGCGAGCTGCTCCTGGGCTCCTGCCCCAGCAAGCCAAGGGGCAAGCAATGTCCTGGTACCCACCATGTGCTTAGGAGCACATGGAGGGGCTCAGAGGTCTCCCCACACGCTGCCCAAGAAGACGGCATGGGAGCAGGTCCCATAGCACATGGGTGCGTGGCACAGCTGGCAGTGGGTGCGCCCACCAGTGAAAACACAGACAGGCAACTTGGCGAGGGGGGTCCATACATCCCCAGCAGCACCTGCCCCAGCCCTGCACAAATGCCCCAGCCAAGCACAGCCCCGAGTCACACCACCCCAGTCCCTCCCAAGAGGGTGGTGGGAGCAGAGGATGGGGATGTGAGAAAGGTACCCGGGCAGCTGCTGTGCCCCAACAGCCCCATTCCCAAACCTCCCACCCAACAGCAGGGTCTGCACCGCAGCCCACCTGTCCCGAGGCACAGGTGCAGCAGGCACCAACCCTTGTCACACAGAAAGTCACAGCTCCCACTCGTGCACAGGAGCCCAAGCAGCACCCTCAGATGCAGAGGGTGCACCTCCCATCCCAGGCTTGAACCGAAATCTCCCCTGGGAGCAATTGGCCCTGCTGACACCACCGTCATCTTCCTCCCACCTGTCTCGCTGGTGCAGTCACCTGAAGGCTGGTGACCAGGGCATGGCGACCACGGTGGCACAGCAGCAAACCAGAAGCACATCTGCAAACTAGCCCCTGCTCCACCATGACTCTGGGTTGTCACTACCAGCCAGGACACGTGCACGGCCCTTGGAACCCCAACCAGGAACCCCCATGCCCTGTGCACCTTGCCTTGTCAGCGGCTATCTTGCCAATCAGAGAGCTACATCAGCCCTTAATTTCTGTAGCTGCTCGGTGTGCCGCCACGAGGTGACCCAGAGGGTTGGGGCAGCACCAGCAGGGACAGCAAAGCTGCGGGGCACAGAGCAGAGCACCCCAGGGTGAGGGGGAGGCTGAGTGGCGCTGAGACGCGCAGCAGCATGGAGCAGTCGCACCGCACAAGCAGCGCTTGGAAGCAGCTCTGGCTATGTTCTACCGTCCTGCACTTCTGACAAACACACCATCGCTCAGGTGTCAAGAGATTTACTTGACACCATCTGGAGCTTCCTCATCACTTCCTCTGGCCAAAGGGGTCCAAAAAACCCCCCAAATTAAAATGGGGAGGGATGAAGGGCACCGGCTTCTCTGTCCCACGGGAGAAGGTGCAAACCAGCAGTGACCTGTGAAAGTGCCCCGCGCAGTCCCTCTGCTCCAGGAAATGAGCTGCCCTGAGGACCCTCATGGGGCTACAGCCACTGGTCTTCTCCTTCTGGTGGGCAGAGGTGGAGAAGCTGGGGGCCCCTCCGCTCCCCTCGGGGGAAGGTGGTCCCCAGCGAGGAGCCATGTGACCAGCCCATGGCTCAGCCTCCGGGGCCGCCAGCTCTCCTCGCTCTGCTTGTCCAGGTGACGATGGAGTGAGCACCCAGGTAGCCGTGGCTTGGAAGGGGAGGATGAAGGAAGGGGAGGATGAAGGTACAGGGCAGCCCCGCGCCCACCTAGGCCCTGGGCCCTCGGCCAGGCTCTCCTCCCTGCTCCCCACAGCACCAGCTCAGCCCAGGGTCTCTCCTGCTGGCACCACCAGCCATGTCTCCCGGCCTTGCCTCCCCAGCCTCTCGCATTGCCCCCGGCACCACACTGCTCACCCTCCCCGGCCATAACCCTCCTCCTCCACCCCTGCGCCCACTCGCAGCCCTGGGCAGTGGGAGCATCGCCTCTCTCCCTGGGGGGGGCTTTCGTGTGTCCAAGCCCCCTGAACCCCAACAGGCACCCTGACCCCGTACCCTCCCTGCCCTGGCAGGTGCTGCCCGGCCAGCCAACCGCCAGGCAGCA